TTTATTAATTAATTAAATTAAAAAAAAAATAAAGACGCCAAAGCAGAAAGTATTCTCACTAAGAAACGGTCGGCGAGTGTCGTTTTTACTTACGAAACAAAACCAAAAAAAAAGTAATAAAATTAAAAAGGAAAGATAAATGAGAAGAAAAAGAAGAAATTTAAATCAAGGAATAAATAAATGAATAAATAATCAATATAAATCGTCGTACATATTAGGAATTACAACACAAGCATAGACACGTACGCCTAATCGTAAAACTGATATGTGAATGAAATCGGTGTCACAGGCCTATGAAATATTACAAAAAAAAAAAAGAAAGAAAAAAAAGAAAAATAAAAAAGTGCAAGTATATCGAGAATGGGGCATGTTATAATAATCGATAAGCCGATGTTATATTTAGAAAGATCATAATAATCGCTTTATAATAATCATTCGTCACATCATTGCTACTTTTGAAACATTACATAAAACTACATCGATTATAATATAAAAGCTTCACAAATCGTGTGATTATAATTTTTTTTTTTTATATATATTAATTGAAAATTATATATATATGTATATTTATTTATATATATAAAAACAAAATTATCCGACTCAAATAAAAATTATATATCATTTTGTAATTTATTTTTAAACGATATTCATATGCATTTAAATATACATGCATACGCACACGACGTACGCATAATCATTTATGCAGCCTCATTCTTGATTAAACATGTATAAATAATATAATGAAAAAATAATCAGCAAAATAATCGTGGAAAAAATGAAGAAAAAAAGAGAGGGAGGAATCTTTTTTAAATTTTGTCGATTAAACCGTGTACGATAATTTTTCTTTTCTTTTTTATGTTAGATGAACAATTTATCCTTGATATTGTTTCTAAGAATCAATAACGCGAACTCTCCTAACTTGTATTTCTAGTGTTAAGTTCCTCAATCCAGTTGTACCTATATACTTAATTAAATTACTTACACACACACACATACCGTTGCACGTATTACTATTACATACTTTATACAATCAATATAACGAAAACTCTCTCATGGGATAAGAAAGAAATTATTTTCTTCTGAATGAGAAAAAATAGTAATAGCACATACGTACATAAACACCATAGACACGTACGCACATAGCCCCCCTCCTCTCTTCCTACTCCCTTAGAATTATCGTTATAATAACAAATTAGAGGCAAAGAAAAAACTTGAGATTAATTAATGAACAAGTATTGTTATTATTATTAAATTAATGGGATAGTTTAAAAATAAATACTGTGAGTTTGCGTTTACGTTAATTGCGATAAATTATGTGAAAATATCTAAAATCGAATTAATTCGTATAAAATTATTTTATTTTATAAGTATCTCTATAATATTTTTCCCATTTCTCATGTGATACTTTTATAAACGTTTGTTTAAATATATAATTTTATACGAAATAGATTGAACTTGTCGAAATCATCTAATCGAAAATTTCATTTTATTATTTAAAAAAAAAAAAAAAAAATAAAATAAAAAAACACCAGCCGAGCAAAAACGAACCAAATAGTCACTTCTGTAGATAAAATAAAAATTTACAAGTTTGAAAAATGATATATCTATAATGAATTAAATTAATTGTCATATTTAACGCGATCGATAAATATTCGCGTCGCTTTTGTACTCGTTATAAATAAATAATTAGAAAAAGGAAAAAAAGGAAAAAAAAAAAAATTATAAGAGAGAAAAAAAAGTATAAACATATTAATCTATTACTCCCAATGGTAGTGATACGTATTGTTATTCAAATTGTTTTTATAATATTTTCTGTGAATTATCAAGTTTTTGTAGCAAGCTTGAAAAATGTGACTGACTAAAAAGTTCGAAAAAATGTTCGGCTTATCTATTGAAAACGTTAAATGTATTCTGATCTAATGAATTTCCATGTAAAAAAAAAAAAAAAAAAAAAAAAAAA